CCCCCCCCCCCCCCAGGAGACTCTCCTCATCCAATCCAGCCCTTTGAGTAGGGTGCTTCTTCCAACCCCAACAGCACGGAGCCCGGGGCAGTGGCACAGCTGTGTGGCATAGTGCAACGGCTCTCATAGTGCTGGTGGTCCCTGCACCAGCAGCATCAGCATCCCCTGGGAACTTGTTAGAAATGCTCATCCTCAGGCCTCACCCCAGCCCTACCGAAACCGAATCTCTGGAGGAGAGGCCCAGCAATCTGTGTGTGGACCAGCCTTGCGGGTGGTCCTGATGCCTGCTCACGTCTCAGAAGCAGCAGACGATGGTTAAGACTCTAGGCCTGCTGAGTTTCCAGTCCTCCTTCAGCGACAAACATGCTGGAAATTCACTAGGAAACCCTTAGGGTCACTCCCTGGGACAAGTCATTCATCTCTGAAATATTGTCTATACTTTCCTTGGAAGAATGAGCAAGTTCGATATTGAAGCACAGGAAATGGTCACTAGCCAACAAATTTTTACTACAAAAATGATAGTTTCCTCTGGTGCAATCTAACAGCTTCATTACCTGGGGAAAGATTGTATGATAAGACCCGTTGTGTTTTGAGGGTTTAAAAGGAAAGGACTGCCCATCTGTGGTTGTTGGTACCCCCAAGGAGGGAAAGCCTCCTTGAAAGGGATGGACCCAGAATCAGCCCAGACACAGGCGTCCAGGGCAGCTGTCTCAGGGGTGTACTTTGCTGGGTAGTAAGAGGCACAACCTGGGGTTAAGCTTCGTCCCAGGTGAGCAGGATCATGCCCCTCAAGAGAGGAGGGTCTTGCTCAGGATGGCATCAGGGAGGCGCCGCCCAGCTTCTGCGGGGTTTGGCCTACGCAGGGCTAAGTTACAACAGCGACACCACATGGCAACTGGAAAGCAAGGCAGTTCAGCTGAGGGGCCTCCCCACGTGGATGAAGAACTTACCCCCTTGGGGGATGTATAAACCCAGTTCTCATGTGGTTCAGAGGGAGGAAGAGCCTTGAGGAGAAAACACTGGACTTTCTACCACTAAGACACAGACGCCATAGGGCTCCAAGCCTCGGTCTCGCCATCGCTAGAGGAGAGATCACGCCCGTGCAGAGGGACGCTATTTGGAAATAGTAACACATGCCTTTCTCCTTATTTATTCCCTTGCCTCCAGGTCCAGCTGGAGCCACTCCAGGCCTTTCTGTGTTTTCTCGCTGGGCTTTTTCCAAGTAGAAAACAGAAGCAGTTTGAGGTCAATGGTTTTTCCCATCTTTTGTAAAAACCTATAATACATCCTTTGAAGAGAAAAAGCTGGTTATCCAATGAGGTAGAGAGAGAAGGCAAATGCATTTTAGAAGGAAGAGAGGGCAGGAAAAGGGTTTAGAAAGGGTCTGAGGGTGCTTCCCTGCTTCCTGACCGTGTCCTCAGGCTTACCGGGGGAGGAGCACAGAGAGGTGAAGGGAATGGCCATGGGGCTCCCGGCCTCACCAAAGATGCCCACCCACCAAAGGTGGCATGAAAGCAGCACAGCCACAGGGCCCGAGGGACAGCGTAGCCCAGACCGGTGGGCATCTCGGTGGTGATGGGGTGGGGAGGGGACGGACGGATGATGGCCTCAATACACGGGGTCAGGAGAGGGGGTCCCAAGGATGGCTGACAAGGGCATTCCCACCAGCCTAGCAGAGGAAGGAGATGCAGAATCAGAAGTGAATTGACTTAGAGAAAATAAAATTTTATTTTGTACGCATAGAGCATTGGGCATAGTGTCTGCTGCCCATCTGGGAAATGAATGTTGAATGCTATTGTCATCATTACTGTGGATGCCCATGGCGTGCCCCCCTGAAATAGTACATCTCTCTTCCTATAAACATCCTGACTCCACGACAGACCCATTGTCAGCCCTGGAGAACAGGAGCCAGGCCACCTCTTGATAGTTTGTTAGTTGATAGTTTTAGTAAGTCCAGGGCCCTGTAGGACAGACACGCTCGCATTTATGGAGGAGAACTGTGTCTCTAATCGTCAGCAGGAAGTTGCTTCCCTGGGCCTGCTCTTAGAAACCCCCTCTTCTATGCTCAATTTGCATGCCAACGAGAGGCAAGTCTTCTTCAAGGGAAAAATAATAATTGACCAAAGCTGAGGAAAAAGACACAAAAGACCTTTGAGCTTCTATTAGTCCTCGACCCAGCTGCGACCCAGGCCCCAAATAACTCTCAAGCCTCTCCAGAGATCCCAGAGCCTCAGGCAGATGAGGAGGGAAGAGCTGGACCTTGGGTCGCAGCCAGCAGTGACTTCTGTTGTGCAGAGTACCCGAAAAGATGAATCCCTCCATTAGTTTCATGACCATCTGGAGCCAATTGAAATGAGCCATCCGGTCTCATTAGGGCCAAATATTAAAACCCTTGTCCAGTGACCCTGATAAAAAAAGTTTGTGAAAATGGTACAGTCATGGGGGTCTGGGAGGCAAAGGAGACCCCCCTTTTGCAGAGAAGAGAGGTCAAAGGTGCTGTTCAAGGCATATTCTGTGATTTCCTCAGCAGAAAGAACACTCTGCCCCATCTGATCACCATTTCCCTACAGAAATCTATTGTTTATGCCAAAAAGTTCGAAGTGCATCCTCTGGAAACCACAGAACCGGAGCCACCCGGAAAATCACACCAGCCAGGCGTGGAAATTCCTGCCACCAGGGGTCGCTCTTACTTACCCGTGACTGTCTGCAGCCTAAGGCTGAAGCAAAAAAATGTTGATGCGACTCTTAAGGGGAAAAGCTCTTGCTGAGCATTTGTGACCCAAAGTTTCATTGTCTGTTATCTACGACGGCGGGGGGGGTGGGTGTCTATCATTTCATTTTGCATTTTTGTTCTTTGGAACTCCTGTTCATTTGTTTTTAAGGCCTGTAATTACAGTCTCCGGGAAGCTGGGCTTCAATCCTTCAGGAGGGTTTTTCTAACCAGATCCAAGGCCTATTCACACACCCAGCCCACAAGCACTTATTAATTGCCTCCAGTGTTCCTGGCCTCTGTCGGTTCTGGGGACTGAATTTTCATGTCTGCTGGCCCTCTGCTTGTGAATGCCCCCAAGGCCGTGGGTGGTGAGCACTCCACGGGAAGATTCTATTGGACTTCTTCCCAGCAGCCGCGGCAGGGAAATCAGGACCTGACTCTGGGTCATAATGAGGAGCCACTGGGCGATGGGCCACACCTGCATGGCCACATTCCGCTGTGACAGTGTGGCCTCGTGGGTTTCTGGAATTCATCCGCCACCCTCCCTGGGACTGAGGGCGTGGCCCTTTAGTAATTGTCCTTTGAGTCCCCTGTCTCATCATCCAGTGCCCACATAGGCTACCATGCTGGACCTATGTCCTATGCAGACCCCAACTTGGCCACAGATTAGATCCCCCGAGAAGCCCCTGGGCAGCCCTGATCGTTTTCACTGTGAGTTCTGACGACGGAGATAAAGCACCCGGAGCGCTGCTGGAACGGGAGCCTGTAATTATTAATTTCATCTTTGGGAGACATTAACTTTCCAATCATGCAGGTCCAGGCAATCACAAACAGGTGTATGAGCCACTGCTTCGAACATCTCACCACGGATCCTTTTTTTAAGGGTAAATTTTCCAAAAGGAATGGAGCACACACATGCATAGCCACGGAGAGCTGGCCCCACTGGGCCGTGTCAGTCCCCCATCCCACCTCCTACCTGGGCAAGGCCCCACGCTCAGTGCTTCCGGGCTTCTCCTCTGGCTTCCCCTTTATGTTTGGGCTGTTCCCAGGTGGATGCACGGATCTTGGACTCTGAGCAGATGAAGGCCTCTGAGCCAGAGGAAAGAGAAATTGGAAATGAAATCAAATAGGAGCCTCTGAAAACACAAAAACATTTATCAATGGGCCACTGACCACAACACTCAAGGGCAAAGTTGTTCATTTGCTTTATCATCCCACTGAGCTCTGACTGTGTGCCGGCACTGAGCCACGCTTGGAGGATGAATGATGAGCACAGCCACACAGGGCCCCTGCTCTCACCCAAGGCAGGAGAAACAGTTAAACCAGTGAGTTTCTAAGAAACCAAGACGGGGGACACCTGCCACACTTCGGGGCTCATCTGCTCCTTGGAGAAAGTGGGGATATTTAACTTAAGATCTTAAGGTGATCAATTCGTTTGTGGCACCAACTAGATGAAAATACATTTTCTTTCTCCTGTGCCCCATGGTTTTGCCTACCAGAATTCAGCTGGAAACGTGAAGAAAAAAAAAAACTGAAGGAAGAAAACGATGAGCCTTTGGAAATTTGGGGCCACCCATTTCAGGTCCTAACTGATCTGAGAGGTGGTCCCCTTCTCTTTAACTCCCACAATAAGCTTGTCTGCTGTTTAATTGATTTTTAAAACCAAGTTGCAAAAATATAAAGGACAGTCAAAACTTCAAATCACAGGACAGAAAGAGATGAGACATTTTAAAAGCTCAGATTAAGTGATGCTCATTTAAGTATGATATAAAAACCAGAGGCCGGCCCTGTGGCCCAGTGGTTAAGTTCATGCGCTCCGCTTCGGTGGCCCAGGGTTTCGCTGGTTCAGGTCCTGGGCGTGGACATGGCACTGCTCGTCAGGCCATGCTGAGGCGGCATCCCACATGCCACAACTAGAAGGACCCACAACTAAAATATACAACTATGTACTGGCGGGATTTCGGGAGAAAAGGCAATTAAAAAAAAAAAAGATTGGCAACAGTTGTTAGCTCAGGTGGCAATCTAAAAAAAAAAAAATATGATATAAAAATCAAAAATAGGGAGAGGGCTTCTATACACCCCAAGCAGTATTTCCCAAAGCAGCAGGGGTCTGCGATTTTGTCTTCCCAGACCAGACACTGGTCCCTGAAGCCCCCTCTCTGAACAACAAACAAGCCCTCCTTTGGCGCCGGCTCTGCCTTCTTCTAAGGAACTGTTCCACCCATATCCTCTGTCCCGGAGGTTCTCGTGGAAATGGCGATCAGCGAGCCCGACACCCCTGCCCATCAGGGTGTGCACAAGACTCGGGTCAAGCCAGGTCCTTCTGCAAAACTCCCCAAAGAACCAGAGGGACAAGAATGTGGTGGTGGGTTCTGCAGAATGTGAATGCAAGAGTTACTGGCAGCCTTGTGTCTAGCAGCCTCTGCAGCCAGAGAGACTGGAGCCAGCAGGCAGAGAAAAGCTGATGAGAGACAGAGGGAGAGGGTCCTTGTGCTGTCAAGACCTTGGCTCCACTTGGCCCTGGGGTCCAGCCTCATTCTGCCTTTTCCATCCAGAGGTTACGTGAGATCTTCCTCCCTGTTTGCCTTAGCTGGTACCGGCTGGATTTCTGTCACTTGCAAGCACAAGAGTATATTCCATAGATGACTAGACGAGCTTTGAGGGAAACAAAGTGTTCTCTGGTCAAATAGGTTTAAGAAGCGCTCCGTGATGCAGCCCTCTTTTAGAAATTCAGGATGCACGTTAGCATTGAAGGTTCTGAGAAGTTCTGGAGTAAAATAACATTGAACTTAACCCAGGGTTTCCCAAAGTTTCTTGACCACAGGACCCTTCGTTCATGGGCCACCTGTTAACATCTCATAGAGCTAGTGTTCCGTGGCACCTGCTTTTGAGGACAGTTTCTCTCCACCTTGTTTGAATCTGGCCGATGATCCAAATCCTCAGAGCAGGGCGGCCCCTAGCCTGTGCGGCGCCTTTGTGGAAAGTGGAAGGTGGTGCTCCTCTGGGCAGGCGCATGGCTTGTGAGTAGTGCCTTTGTGTGAATTAGAAAAGCTTCTCTTTCCTCCAGCACATGGAGCTCAGACCTAGGCACGTGGCTTGCTGGGTACTTGGGAGAAACCAAGCTCCATGACCTCCAGCTCTGTCCTTGAGGAGCCCCATCTTGTGGGCAACGCGGTGGAGATGGGCACCAGGGGCCAGGCAGGAGGAGCTCCTCCGGGCTTCATGGCGCTCCCTGCGGCTCCCTGCTGGAAATCTTGTCTCTCCCCTCAGGGAACACTGCTCTCCCACACAACCCCAGAGAGAGACCCAGCTCGGTCCTGCCCATTAAAGAGGGCAGCTGGAGATGCAAAAAGCATCTCCTGAGCCCAACAGTTCACCAGCGGCGCCTATGCACCCTGATCCAGCGAGATTATTTGATGAATAACTCATTTCACCCAGACCTTCCAAAATGTAACATTTTATTTATTGATTTGTTGATTCATTCAATCTCCTAAGAAACATTCATCTAAAGCCTATCACGTGCCAGAACCAGTGCTAGAAGTGGGGGCTCCAAAAATGAGTAAGACTCCATCCCTGCTCTCGAGTTGCTCAGTCTAGGGACCCACAGACCCCAGCGCTGTGACCACAGAGATGCGAACACGGGGGCACCCAAGGAGGAGAGCCAGGCCCCCCAGGAGGGAGGGGCCCCACCCGCCCACCTCCATCAACCTCTAGGTTGGGGTTGTTGTGAGCTAATCTGGGGAGCTTCCGAGGGACAATGGGGTGCAAATCCTCCGCCTGACCTGAACCTGGGGGTCTTCTAGTGACCTTGAACCTTCTGTTGGATGGGCTGCCGTCCTTGACCTTCAGACACAGCCTGAAGAACAGCTTAGCTTCGCCTATGTTTCCCCCACCTGGTGCATTTCTCTGTGCGACTGGCTGCTGGCGTTCCCCCAGTGGCATCTGCATAAAAATATAGAAGATGCCTCAACTCTCAGGGGCCCAGGCGTTCCAGTGCTAACAGGAATACTACAGTTAGAAAATTTCCATTCACTTCTGCTGAGACAGTGTGTGGGGGAAAATAACAACACAACAACAACAATAATAACTTCTGCTTATTTAACTTAGGAGGTGCTAGGCATTGAGCCAGTAGCTTTCCATAAACCATGTCGTTGGATCTTCGCAGCAGCCTTATGAGAAAGATGTTAATCATGTCCCTGTTTAGAACTGAGGCTTTGAGAGGTTAAGTAACTTGGCTGATATCACACAGCCGCAGAGTCTGGGTAGATCTGATTCTCTCTGACCCAGAGCGAGGACAGGCCTCTCTGTTTGATCCCTGCAGTGGGGGATACTGAAGGAGGGAGAGAGAGCTGGGGCTGATTCCTCACCTAAGAGGGGGGCTGCTGACCCCCGGCTGGCTGGACCCTTTCCTGAAACGAGAGCCCCTGGCCTGGCCTGGGGGCCTCAGTCTCCTGATCTGTGAATCTAGGAGGATAATCACCCCCAGAGGACAGTATCCAGACAGTACAAACTTCAAATCACCGTAAATTCAGACTCCAAGTGCTCCTGATCCCCCTGAGCAAGGTTCTTTCTCTATGTAACATCACTACCTTCGGATGCACGATTTAGAAAATTTACTACGATAACTCAAGAATGACAGTACAGAGGGAGTGACACTTTTATATCAGGGTCCTGAATTTTTAAAATCATAACCCAATTCCTACTTGCCTAACTGTCATGCCGGCCTCAGCTCCAACCCCTTCCGCAGCCAGGCCTCCCCTTCCATCACCAGACGATCTGCCATGAATTATTCTGCAACTAATTTAACAAATAAATCTCCTGCCCTTTCTTCTACGATCAAGGTCACTTTAAAGTAATTCTGGAAAGACGTTGACATGTCTAACGCCCCAGACAGATGCAAACAACAGATGGAACAAGGAGACAGATCTTTGCTCTGACTAAAGGAGAAAAAAGGGACCACATGCTCCGGTTCCTCAGGCTAAGGAAATATAACATGGGCTCAGATCCGTCTTTGAAGAAAAAAGAGTCCACCTTTCTCCCTTTTCAACCCCACTCTTCTTCCTAATAAAAAGCTAATCTGCAAGAAGAATACCAGTTCCCTCCAACAAAACCATATCTGGATGGAGTTAAAATGAAAGCGAGAATACTATCCATGGGAATGGCACATTGCACTTTTCAAAGTGCTCTGACATCCATCCGAGTCGTACCAAACCCCTGTGAGCTAAACAGGCAGGTAAAGTAATGTTTTCCATTTTCCAGATGAGAAACAGAGGGTTGAGTGGCTTGGCCAGGTCTTTTGCCTTGAAGTCCAATGCTCTTTCCACAATAATAATAACACCCAACACGTACATAGCACTTTTTCTGCTATAAAAATAATAGCAAATTTATTATTATGAACACTTTCTATGTGCCAAGTATTATTCTTTTAAGTGCTTTACTTATTTAAACTCATTCAATCCTTACAACAACCCTATTTTACAGATAAGGTCACTTAGCACAGAGAGGTCAAGCCACTTGCCCAAGGTCACAGTGTGGAAGTGGTGGAGCCAGGACTTGGACCCAGAGGGTTGGAGGCAAGAGCCCGTGCTCTTGAGCTTTACCTTATACCGCCTCCCCAGACAGTGGGAATAGCTGCCTACGATCCCTGACATCTTCCTGCCACGCTCCAAGTAACTAAAACAACTGGACATTTATGAATAATGTGGTACAGGAGCCTAGATTCAATGCCCAGAATAGCACCTGGCACAGAGGGGCACTTCATAAATATTTGTTGAATGTTTGAAAAATAGATTATTCCCGTTCAGTCTGGTAGCCACTTCAGTGAATGGGGGTGGGGAGCACGCCCGGTCCTCAGAACTCTCGCTTTTGCTACATTTCCCACCGTGTCTTTGAGGCCTCCGTCCAGTTTCCCCATCCTAGCAACGGTCCTAAGCCCTGTTGCTTACACGATCTCAAGGGGTCTGTTGTGTCAACAGACGTCACTGCAAAACAGCACACGTTTCTAAAGTTACCCTTCCACTTCCAAAGCGTGGGCTGGAAAAAAAGCATTGGCAACCCTCCACATGACAAACTGACTTGTCAAGTTGCTT